CAGCCGACAGAAAAAATTGTGTGAACTGTCAGTTAAATGTCAGTCTGGGCCGGGGTAAAAAAAAAACGGCAAACACAAGAAGAGAGAGAGAATAAAATTATGTGGTAAAATCAGTGTGAAAAATATTAGAAGCCAAGATGTCAGTCAGTTTGCTCATATTGTCTTCCCCATTCTTGTCAGCGACGCCGAACGCCAAAACCATCACAAAACACTAATCAATTTACCAGTAGAGAGTGTCTGTAAGTTTGCCATATCACAATCAGCAACGCCATGCCCATCACACGGGGGTAAATCTAATAACATCTCACGGAAACAAAGTGCTCAAGAGAGAGAGAGTGAGTGAGTGAGGAATAAGGGCGACAGTTGCGTATTAATGTCACACAATGGCAACCTCATTCTGTTAATTTCGACAATTCAACGCGTGCGTCTCACATAATCGGAAAGGGGGTGCGACTACCTACAATTGCCAGGCGACCAGGTTGTCCCGGGTATTGGGTTAGGGTGGAATGCCAGGGAAATATGTTGGAAATGAATTCGAGTATGGAATAGACATCTTCTTGTGAAGCTATGCGAATGGGATTGCTGTCTCCTTGTACCGCCTGACATAATAAAATCTGATAGGGCAGATGAAATCATTGTAATGTAGGGGGTGCGATATGGTGTAAAACAGCATGGGATGCGGGAGTGAAATGTATTAAATGGGGTTCTCAACTCAATCACCACGACCCGAAAGTACCCATGAGTTCGCCTGGGCCCCTGTATCTTTACACCATGGCACCTTCCAGCATGACAAATGAATGACGTATTGCGTCAGTGGGTGGTAAGTGCGAGAATGAGGATGAGGTTTTGTGTAATCTGTCAAGGGTTAACGATTGTATAAATTATCATCACACAGCCGAATGAGGTGCGGTGCTGGCAATCGCTCTCACTCTCCACATTCAGCTTTGATAAACTTACCTCCTGATCCTCATTCACTTCAATTAATTGCAAACCACCTGGCGGATTGAGGGTGGGTGTTTGTGGAGATGAGAGTATCATACATATAGTGCGGCGTCACATATGTCATCTGCGCCCAGGGAAAAAAAAATTACATTAATACGCCAGGATATAAAACATAATGTCCATTGACTCGGGAAGAAGGAAATGGGGAGAAAAAGTCCATAAATATGTCAAAATATCTAGTTTTTTTTGTCCAATCATGCCACTACTATGCCTCTTGATGATATTAATACCCTCTATTTGGACCCCGAACGCCGCCACCAAAATTATCAAGCATAAAGTCTATTAACGGAATTATGGGTGCTCAGCATGAATAGCGCAAATTTATTATGCATATGACAACCGGAGTTTGCTGACTCTGTCTTCCTTCTCTAATCATCACATGGAAAAGGTGTATCAACACGGCTAATTGCGATGTAATGGATATTCCCATACAATTATCTGCAACTCTCTTGGATTTAGGACTTTTGGGAAATTCCCAGACCACGAATTGCTGCGTGTGGATTTTCGGATCGATGATGCGGAGGAAAAAACCTCAGCGAATGATGTCCGTGGCAATTGTTGCAATTCATTTTCATTCTATTTACAACGCGTTGATAGTTGGTGTCAGTGACTGACTGATTTTGGACACCACCCTGGGTTCCTAAGCTGTGCGGCCATATGTAAATCAAGGAAGCACTGACACGGGCGCTACGTGATAAACACAATCGAGTGGGGCTCGTGGAAAAAATCACACCTCATTACTTGCCAACGAAGATGGATTGCGGAGGGTGGTTGGTTAAAAGTGCCGTCACTCCATGGGGTGGCACGCCATTGACCCGGCAAAATAGCGTGATGACTTGTCGCGGTGATTTAGGAAAGCTCCGTGCATACTAATGAAACGTTCGCGATGTCATTCGTGGCTCCTTGACAGTCAATTCCACCGCCAAACATAAATTCCATGCCCTCAGATCAATCGGGTGGGTTTTGTGCGTATTGGAATCTGTGACACGTTAATTTCATCCATCACAATCAACCCTCCTGAGCAGTCACGAAGGGGTTTTCGCGAAGGAGGAGGTGGAGCCCAATAATCGAATCATTTTCATACCGCGAATAGTTTAAATAAACCGTCAAATATGTGTACACATTGCAATGCAGTGTATTTATTCTTTGACACGCGAACACAGCCCATCATCATCATTCCTCAGGCCCTCCCACCGCGACCAGGTTGAAGGTTGAGCATGGCTCGAGGAGAAGCATAAAATCTATCAGCCAAGGAGATTTCACGAAATGATTTGTACAGTTCTGGCGCTAATCGTCACTGTGCTGTGTTATCGCAATCACTATTAGCCACTTTTTTTTCTGTCTACCGCCATTAAGTAAAATTTTCACTTCATATCGTACACAATTATTTTTCAACACTACACAAAAGCATGTAATACAAAGTGAAAAGTGGTGTATAAATATTAATAAGTTTTCACTGGCTTTGCCGTGCGGTTGATCTTGAGAGGAGAGCATTTAAAACGAAAAAAAAACAGCGGCGAGAAGACTTATTTCGAATTCAATTTCAGCACTTTCCGGCTTCCATTCTATTTTATGTGCATCAGCATAAAAATTGGTATGATTCTTATCTCAAGTTGGAATCATAAAATTTTTCGATTACACCATACTCCAATGCTTTCGCCATAAATGTCCTCAAGTAAGATGATTAATGTTTTGTTCTAATAAACTCGCATTCCTTCCTCGCCCGCCAACCAACTTTACCACTGTGTCCAATACAATATATGCACTCTCACAGTAATAGCCCATAATTCATTATTAAGCACAAAACCTTCAGAATACCGAAATAGAGGGAAAGACTTCGGGCATGGAGTCAATTTATTATCTCATGAGTGGCTGAGAAGTGAGAAAATCCAACGTGATAACAAGTGATTGATTTATTTGTCCGCGAGCCTATTGAAAATCATGCTCAACATTGCGTTGCCAAATGATGTATAAAATCATGTAAAATGCAATGTGGAAAGGAGACAATAAAGTACAATTAGTCTAAAAAGAAATTAAAATATGCGGTGGAGTTTGTTGAAAAGGCAAAAACACCCTGTTCTCAGCACATTAAGAAAGTGCGATGAGTTGTGGCCGAGAACATAAGCAAAGAGAATAGCCGTGGAAGTAAAAGAGTTTTAATGAAAAGAACCGAACATGTTCGCAACTTTGGTACGATGGTCAGATAAGGTTTTGTATGTATATTAAATGGAGGAAATGACTGTTGTACTATTTCATACACACGTTTTATAATAAAAATTCATATCCAACATTATTTTCTTCGGTGAACATTACATTAATTATGCGGCCAAGTAGTTAATCGCAGAGAACAAAATGACTTGCTAGTATTATAATTCTCTACTCTCCTGACTCGGATTCCACCATAAATACACATCATCCAAAGGCATGCTCTTGCCGGGGTTCAGCAAATAAAAATTCCGCCCTGTTTAATACATTTCCGCGCGGCATTTTTTGAATATATATCGCCGCTCTTGCTCTGATGCCTTTCAACTCCAGCACGCATATTTAAGCACATTGAATTCCTATCGTTACTTCATTAAATTGGGCTTTGTTTTCACTTCTTCTCTCTCGAATTTTACCACAAGCAGAAGATCCGTGAGCATATTATTTCCTTTACACAGCGCAAACTATTTAACTTTTGTCATATAACGCATGTTTATAAAATTCACATGATTTGCATTTTATGATGTTGTACACCATTTGTCGGGGGAGATTTTATTTTGTTGCTTTCGTAAAGACCTCTTTTACGATGTAGTAACATGATCACATTGTCCTATCGCCAGAGAAATCAACGTCTTCTAATATCTGTGACCACCAAATGATTGAATACACGCTGAATATTGACTGACATTTTGGGAATTTCTGACTTGGAGTCATGAAATATATTGTTGCCACACTGGAAGCCGGAGGACATCGTGTAAATGTCAAAATATCAGCAAACTCCCATTTAATTTCATGTCAAGTGGTACTTTATACACTTTTGTAATTTGTAGCTTTGTCTCATTCTTTTTCCCTTCTCTCACTCTCCACGCCTTGGTACCTTTCTCCCATGGCTTTTGGGACACATCAAAAGTCCGCTCGTAAATAATTCCATGGTATATGATGTAATTAACATGAGAGATTTAGTTTTGTGATATTCCTGCGTTGAAATTCGCAACTCTACACCTTAGTATGAAATTCACGTGACTCCAATTGCTCACATCGGCGGCAATTTCCACCCTCGTACAGCTTATACGGTAGTCAATAAGCTTCTTAGAGGCAGCGCGAGAAAGGAGGAATATATCAAATTATTTTCGTTCTGTGCGACTCTCTGTGCTCAGTCAAAGAAAAAAAAAGCTGTTTTGACCATGGCAGTCGAGATAGGTAGAGAAAATGAGAACCAACGCCCACTAGAAGCCACCTCGAGAGCCACGAAATTATGTGAGGTTGAGACGCGAGCATGAGGGAAAGAGAGGGCGAGTGTGGGCTTATACATATGAAATATTTCATCGCTAGACCATTTTTTGAAAAATGTACGTCCACAGGTTTTCGAATTAACGCGGCGAGAGAGAGAAAAAAACCGCCTTTTGATGAATTGAGTTGACAGTTATTTCCTGCCGCCATTTTTATTGCGTGTTATCGCGATCAAGAGTCCGAACCTCTCTATTTTCCCTCGCGTTCCCCATATATAATTCTCGGTCGGGGAAAAGAAATAAAAGCGCGGAGACCTAAAAAGCATTGCGAGAGCTCTCGGTGGGGCCCTGGGCTCTATGCCTAATTTGGAAGTTACACATTTCACCTTAATGTGATTATGTCATAGTTCCGAGAGTGACAGGGGAGTCTTATTTTCGGGAAAATTGACCCAGTTTTCCCCTTTATTGCCTCAACTCACACACACACACTCCAGAGAGAGAGACGAGCTGGAGGGTCTCTCCGTTTGAGATTGATGTCTAATTGAAACACATATCTTACAATTGCAGGCGGATGTTTCCCACGCTGAGGGTGTCGTTCAGTGGGCCGCTGCGCCAGGCCCAACCCGCCGACAGGTACGCTGTGCTGCTGGACATCATAGCCGTGGACTGCCGACGATATCGCTATGCATATCACAGATCGTCGTGGTTGGTGGCCGGCAAGGCTGATCCGCCGCCACCGCCGCGGCTCTACGCGCATCCCGACAGCCCCATAAGCGCCGAAGCACTCCGCAAGCAAGTGGTGTCGTTCGAGAAGGTCAAGCTGACCAACAATGAGATGGACAAGAATGGACAGGTGAGTCAGGCATCTAAGAAAGCGAGATTATTAACCTCAGTCTGAAAGGCAGAACCACTTAATTGTCCCAAATTTCCACGACAGAAATCCTAGAGACAAATTTTTACTAAATCTTTTGAGAGACATTTCCTGAATTGCTAAACATTGAAAACATGGCGTGAATTAATCAATATCTTTTGCTCAATTCTAGCCTTTGCAATATTCTACACAACAAAAGTTAGCAAAGGTTAGTAATTGATATTTATGAAATGGGAGAACTTGGCTGCAATTGCTATTTGAAGAAAACACACTTCAGAGAGCAATCCACAGTAGCCCCGCTCTCCCCTATCAACATTTTACGCCTAACTCAAAACATAATACTGCAAATTCACTAATAATACTTCAGTGGGAAAATTTCTCACACTCTCCAACACACAGACAATTTTGAATAAAATCTCTCGTTTTCCCCCCCACGAGAGACATTTTCCTCGAATTTTCAAACAATTGCAATCTTGCTCGGTTTTGTTTCATTTTCGAAAGTGGGCATATTTTCTCTGCATGTCCTTATTTTTCTCCTGAAAACCTGCACAATGGAAGTGGTGTGGATGATAATTTTCTCAAAAATTCACTAACATTTATCCCCTATGAGAGATGCAAGTGAGTGAAAAATAGGAAGAAATATTCTCTGCCATTGTGCGAAGAGTAAAATGCATTTATAACTTGGTGGTATGACGGCTGCGGCATTAGTGCAACGGCTACCATTCCAGCTAAAATATTGGCACGAATCGCTGTTGGCGGAGATAAAATCCAAATTAATATTGGCTGAGGAGGAGTTGAAATATTTAGTCACCTCTCTCTCTCTCTCTCTATGTGCTCTGCAACTGGCGAAGCACTGGAAGGCATGCACTGCGAGATGTGGATATGAAATGGTAGTGAAATTGTCTTTGGAAAAGAAGTTGTCATGAGAGGGAGAAGGTGTCTTAATTGACGTGTCGCTAGCACCACTGACTTCATCACGTCTCGAATGTACGTTTTTTAACGCGCGAATCGTGAGGGGAATTATTTATTTTGCTGGTATGCCTTCTGTGATAATGATGATGACTATAAAAATCAGTGGTGGGATAGTTTTTGTTGTCATTAACACCTAATTGGCGGATATATACTGCCCGGCGTCAGTTTTAAGCCTTTCATGCCATCTTATGGCATTACATGAGCATCTCCGGCCGCACTTCTTCGCTGCCAGCGCGAGATGGCAAAAGATGGAGTTCCCATGTTCAAGAGGAAGAAACCGCGCGGAGAGTAATTTTTATATACACTACATATACACCAGAGAGTTATAAAATTCAAGCCGGTTGGACTCCCACGTCGTCCAGTGGCTTATAAATATTATTTCACACGACGACGAGTGAAGACCAACTCTTTACCCTCTTTAATTTCAAAAGCCCAACACATTTGACTTTAATATTGTATTTTTTATTGCGTAATTTATCAAAGGGTTTCTCCCCCAGCCACACTCTTTGTCCATTGCAGACTGTATTGCACCTCCGTTGGATGCTGAGGTGCTAAAGAATTGTGACTCCCCATTGAGAAAAGTCAAGTGATATTCAAAACTTATAGATTTACCTTTATTGGAATTTGTCTCCGTGCCCACCCTTCGTGCCTCTCGATCATCTCTTGCTACTATCTCGAGAAAAATTGTCACTCGTAAAATTGAAAAGCTATATTACACCTTAATATGTGAGAGAAGTGATCGCATAGTGAGAAGAAAAATGTCCAACCGGTCTTATTCCACTGCGTCCTATTTATAGTGCCATTCAATTTTTTTTTTCATCGTAAGCTTCTACTAAACACAATATTTTCATTTGGAGATTTATACATAGTCTCGAGAGATATTGGAATTTAATATTCTCCTCCACGTGTGATTTTATCTCTCATAGTCGCGCTTGTGTAAATTTCACACCAAATCTAATGTATATTTCAATATAATATTTCACTGAATTCACTTGTAAATTTATTATGTCATTAAAGTGTTGTTCTCCTTCAAGCACTTTCTCGTCTCTCTGGGCAAAATCTAGAGAAAAAAAAGCAGTCGCGTTTTATAGAGAAATAATTTGCAATGTGTCCCCATGAAAGTGATGGAGTCACTGGATGTTAAACGCACATGGGCAAAAAGTTGAAGTGAAATTTATAGTGATTTTAATGGCAGATGTATTCACTTAATGGCGAAATAAACGCAGAATAATCGCCGTTTCCTGATTAAAGTTATCTCTCTTGCGATAAGTTCTTTTGGCTGTTTTTGCAAGGGAAGTGTGACACATTTTCGGACATAAATTTGGAATTCAAGTAAAACTCTCTGTGGTTTGACGAAAAGACCGCAAAATAAGGGGACATTTATTGAGACATCATAAGTCCAAAAGTGTCTTAATTGCTCATGGCGGAAGCACCTTCGAAACGCTGTCATTAACCATTCAAAATAATTGCCAATGTTATCAATAAATTATTTCTCCGGCAGTGTAGAATATTTGCCACCGCGCGAACAATCGCAATTATAAATTTATCGATAAAATTGATGTTCCACTTCCCACACTAAATCTCAAAAGTAATGATTGTTAAACAGTTATAATTGCAGAAAATTGCTAATCATTTTTAGATCACCATAATTTCTTAATAAGAGCATGATGTTTTAATGGCATGGCGAGTGGCTAATCAATACATTTCTCTGGTCTGTTTGCAGATTGTCTTGAACTCCATGCACCGATATCAGCCGCGGATACACCTGGTGCGCCTCGGTCCTGGCCAGAACATTCCCGTCTCGCCCAAGGAGCTGCAGGAGGTTGAGCACAAGACGTACGTGTTCCCAGAGACGGTGTTCACCGCCGTGACCGCCTACCAGAATCAACTAATAACCAAATTGAAGATCGACTCGAATCCATTTGCGAAAGGATTCAGGGACTCGTCTAGACTTACGGATTTCGACAGGTGAGACCAGAGATTCTCATCTTTCTGCTCTCTTATTTTCTACCTCTCCTCTTTGGCGCGCTCAATCAGTACATCCATGTGTGAAGTTCCTCCGCCCAAAATGCCGGTCTAATAGTTTTTATCTGATGTGTTTTGTGGTGTTTATCGTTGTATATCGTTTCACTGAATCTGGCCTTCCACAAAACACTATATTTGTTTTTTTACCTCCATCGCATTCTTCGAGATTCCCTCTGTGGCCACAGCATCCTCTCATGTTCTGCCCGTGTTTCTGACCACGGCGCGATCACTCTTTTTTCGGGCGCGCACAAGAGATCTCTCCCGCGCGCTTTAATGCTACCCATAATGCTATATCCACTTCCACTGATCCGTAAAACATGTAATTTTGTCGACGTGCTCAAAATGATTTATGATACGATGAGTGTTAACTTAATTACCTTTTATCGAAAATTTCGGGATTTCTAATTGCTTTCTCACACCATCCACCAACCCGCTAATTTGTCCTCAAAATATTGCAGGAATTCACGGCACCGCCTCTCACTTCCAATTCTCTTTCTTGAAAAAGAAACTCCTCACCTTTGATTGGGGCCGAAAAGCTCGCACGATTATCGGCCTTAGAAAGTATTAATTATAGCAACTTGTGAGCCCAGCAACACTCCTGATGGGCCACAGTGTGTTGAAGAGAGGTCGCAAGAAGTGGTCCACGAGACGCGGGGTTGTAAACGGAGAGGCACTAAAGCCGCACATGAATATGTCTCCATTTTTATGGTTATCACATGCAATTCGCCTTTTATATGCATTTATCGCGAGTGCCGTGGCACTTTAAAGTAATCCAGTGGTGGAGACCTCACCCGAACAATGGGGATTCGCTGAAAATTGTGAGAATTGTAATGGGTGTGTTAATTAAAATTCAATATAAATGTCTCAGCGGAGTGTGGAAATTTAAGAGTTAAGATGAAACTCTTAAAGTCTCTTCCTCATGTGAGAATATTGCTTTACAGTTAATTGCACGTTAAAATGTATTAAGCTAATTTATCATTGTGTGCCATCATTTCTCAAGATCTCATCGAGACAATTTAATCTCTTTCCTCTTTCATCATAGACCTCCTTTTATTCGGCCTCTCTTGCGCCACACATATTGACTCTTCGAGCTGCTGCGCCTCGAAAGCGTGAATCTCAAAATCTCTCTCGCGTCGCCCAAAAGATATTTTATTTACTATTTACCATAGAGGAGATTTTCTCCCTTCTTGCTATCAATGGTTTGGCGCATGAGCACTGCCGATGGTGGCTGGTGAGCCAAGAATATGGTGTGCTACTGTGTCTGGACCGGAGGCAGACCAGTAGCAGGGCGCTTTATGACTCCAACCGCAAATGACTCCGTTGATGCTGTGTACTCGGTAAACGGATCTGTGAGCGTGAAGATTTCTTTATTTTCCGCCTGATTTCCTTATGTGTGATGCTTAAAATTGAAATTATCGCACAAAGTGGGAAATTGTCTGCCAATTAATTTTGCCTCATTCAACACAAAATCAACCGACATGACGCGAAAGAGACCGCCGGAGAGTGGGTGAGTTGTCTGGAGGCATGCGCAACTCCTTGTCTTCATCGCGGCAAAGTGACAAAATTTGCACAAGGATTTCTCCACTGAGCATCACATATGAATTATATTTCGCGTCTGGGGGGAGAAAATAGCGTGAAAAACCAACAAACTCCGCCCACTGGCTTTTCCTCAATTTTCACACTTGTAGCGAGAGGAGCAGAGAGACACAGATGAACGGGGCGAAGTATGAGTGTAATAAAAATGAAAGTATCATTGGCAGTAAAACTTTCAACTTTGTTACTTTTTGCGCGTTCAAATTTTCTTGTCATTCTACTGAACCTGAAAATTACATTTGAAAACTTTCACGAGGCGCTTTACCTTCCAACAGCTTTGTTTTTAAAGGAGATGCGTCAAGGTTTCCTCCTCTCTTTTTGGCCTGGCTAAAGCCATTCCAAGCTGTCAAGTTGTAAACTTGTGAAACTTACGACTTGAAGCACGGGACACAGAATACCAGCGTTGACGCTGTTTATGACAATATGATGTATTTTTTTTTTTTTGGTTTTTCTGCCAATCGATATGGACTGAGAGCTTCACTCGATTCTCCATGTTTTTGAGTAATTGGCGTAATCGCAGCGCAACATTGTATGAAGAGCTTTATTCTCAGAGACGATCGGGCAATTGGAGTTTTGCTAACACTTTGAATCGCCTGTAATTGCTTCCTATTATCATTTATGCATGAAACTTCCTGGCCCCTAATTGGTCAGGCGGCCGTTAATGCCCTCGTCCTGCGGAGTTGTCGAGGGAAGATGAATTGAGCATTGCGGAAAGCATGAGACTTGATTTCTTAATAATTTTGCCCTCGGGCGTGATTTCTCGCGTCTTAATTGACCGGTGAAAATCGATCGGCGAGGAATTGGGGATCCTGCCTCTGACCTGTCCCCCAAGTGCTCAGCGGTCTGGTGACTGGGCAAGTGTGGTTGGAGGGCACGCACCATACTTGGTCATTTCGATGCCCTGTCTCTCTCCACACCGTTCACGGGGCATTGCATATTAGCTGCGGACGCGATGTTCGCGCACGCAGGCGAATATATGAGTGGTGAGGTCTGTAATTTGGCCACGGAGCCGCGCGCAATTTCAAATTATGTCGATTCCACTGTGTTCTTCATCTTTAACACAATCATTGAGCACCTTTTTCCTCCACTCGGCGGCAGTTCTTGTGCTCCCCATAATGTGTGGAGACCACAGAGTCTCGGTACAACATCAAATTTCCAAGTTCTCAGCTCCAAATTGGGCGACTGATGCTGATGATGCACTTAAGACACTCACCGGGTCCGCGCGCTATGAATGAGTGACGCGATCACACGGATCCACTCATCCTGCCGCGCCCCTGCGGGCGCAGCCCATGCCATTTCTCACACGCTCGCCCGTGTGCGTACACCTCTGAGGTGAGATAAGCATTTACATTAGCAGCGCGAAAAATTATGCCAAGACAATGACGAAAGTGGCTAATTAAGGGAGCGAGGCGTAAATTTGCGAGATCGTGTTCTGGAGGTGAGCAAAATTGTGCCGCCGAAGAAATTATCGCCACGATGCAACTGAGATAATTTCTCCGCAAAATGCCGGAAATATTGGCGTCGAGGAGAGCTAATTTGCTGCCACCGCAACGACGACTATCAACACCTGCCAACACTTTCCGCATTTATTCAAGAGTAATTATCTCAATGAAGTTGCCTCAAACTGCCGTGATTATAATATTTTCACACGATAATGCAAATTGTCCCAGGCCGACTAACACAACCATTGCCATCTCGTTGCTTTTCGCTTTTCCCTCACTCTGATGGCTCACGAACGCATTGTGCGACTGGGCGTTGGAGCTGCGAACAGCTCAGATCTCATGGAATTTATATGACATCCAATCCGGCATTTGAGAGTTTTGATTAAAATTGGGCAAAATGCCTAAACTTTAATGCCTCGAAATTTAATCCTCCGCTCCTCTGGAGCATCCATTACGCATGCGGTGAAAGAAGAGCGCAAATCGAGCCCATCGTGAGGTGAGAAGCGTAATTTGCTGGGTGAGGAGGAACAGCCCAAAAAATCGCCACAAAGTCTAGAGCAGGAATTTTCCCCGTGATGAGCGGTCATGCCTGGGACTTCCTCAGTCACTGTCTGCATGGCCTGCCACTTTACAACCTGGTGAGGTATATCGCGATAAAATCCCTCACGGGTGTAATACGCAAAAAAGGTGAATAGATATTAAATAAATCTCTGAACGCGTCTTCGCTTCTCGGCCACAATGATGATGATAGCAATTATAATTGGGGCTCAATTTGTAGCGTGTGAGAAGAGAGCAAAAATCATCTCTTTGGCATGGCTCAGAAGAAGCTGAGAGAGTCTCGCGAGACTGGTGAGCCCCGGAGGTAGAGTGCTGGAGCCCTGCAGCTCATATCATCGGCAGTACAAATTACAGGGCGGCACCACTTTGATGCCAAGAGCCGCACTCAGGGATGCATCAGTGTCGCTCAATGCGTCGCTCCTTTAATCCCATCCGAACGCGGGTCTCTTGTGGGGGTTTTGCAAGGCGAATATGCGCTGAGATAATTGCCATTTACCCAGGGAAAAAAGTGATTTAAGAGGTGTAAAAATTAATAAATAATTGCACAAGTTATTAATTCCTTCTCTCACCATTTCTGTTTTGACGGTTTTTACTCACCACCTAAATGCACATCAGACAAGCCAGTGGGTCATTTAGATGCGCGCCGTGTGTGAGAGAAAATGGCAAAAATCATATTTTTATATGCAATTTTTCACTTTAATTAATTACCCGCCAGATCACTCCCTGTTTCACCTCGATGGTGGAATCCATCAGCATATCTGCATCATAGATACACGGCCGAGGTGGATGCCGGGGCCTGAGGGTGTGCAAATTATTTTAATGAATGACTCTCCGAAAGAATCCCTGGTAGGACGATCTATTTTAACACTTCGTCTGCCAGCAATTGAGCTGCGCTCTTTCTGCTTGGGCAGCACCGCTCGGTCTAGTGTTAATGGCTCAGGGTTGCAAGGCGGCTTTCGGTGAAATTTAATTTGTTCATCTCAAACTTGCGTGCATCCGAGGAGTTTCGCGATGGAACTCCGCAGTGTTGTATGGGTGAGATAAAAATCCAATCTTCACAAAATTGTGGCCAATTTGCACATTCCACCGTTTCATACTTGTGCACAGTCCTCTCGTCTCCGCTGACCAGAGGTGTGAGACACCCATCCATCCATCTGTCTCGCGAGAGGAGAGGCGCAGCTCTCAGATTTTTCAACGCTCTTGTGCGCCCAGCCAATTCCCTTGGCTGTGTGGGGAAGGAAATGACGATGGGTGTGAAGTGCAAAATTAAATAATTGCCCCACCGATAGGAATCTCCACAGACGTGTAGACACGAGATGTTAAGATTTCTCTGACTCACACTCTTCCCATACTGACCGCTCTCTCTCTCTCTCTCTCTCTTTCTGCCAGGGATCCCATGGACGCTCTGCTGCTGGAGCAGCACCTCCGGACCCCGCTGAGACTGTTTCCGGAGCCCCTGCTGCCGCAGTTCCCGCAGGACGCTGACGGAGCGGCGCTGCTGGAGAAGGCGCGCCAGCAGTTGCAGATCTGGGGCCGATCGCCGTACACGGAGCTCCTGCTGCCACAGGTATACCAGCGTCCCGGACTCGGGGCCCTGAATCTGGGGCTGTGGCAGGGTCAGTGGCCGCCGCAGCTCTCGGCCGGCTTTCTCAGTTCCGCCGCGGCGGCCTCGCGAACCCCGCCACCCTCCGTCTCCACGCCCTCCAGCTCGGGCTCCCCGTCGCCCGACATTCGCGCAAAGCATTTCTCACGCTTCAGCCCCTACCAGGTGCCACCCCACCATCCGCCCGCCGCGCGCAGCCCACCCAATTAGCGGCGCCCACCAGAGGCCCGGCTCAGGGGCTACTGAACACGCGCTCACAAGTTCCCAAAGACAAACATTATATATCATCTTTCCTGTGAATATTCAATAGCGAACTGTAATTTATTTTTGTAGGTGTATTTCTCACTGTACATAGAAGGGTAATTTCAGCGTAACGAAAATCTCATTGTAATATGTGACTCCCCAGCCCGCGCGATCCACTTATGGGAGTGAATTTTACTGATAAGCAAAATTCATTGCATTCGCAGGATGCACTTGAAATCATCCCCTTAGAATTCCCTCGAAAAAAAATAAAAAATATATTGTGTGACATCCGTGAATACATGAGCAAAGAAACGGCTTCATAACCATTAATGTTATGGTTTGAGATGACGTAGGAAAAGTGAAGGAATTTTTCAAAATTTATTTATCAAGTGACATGGAAAGTAAACTGTTAATAAATTAGCTAATAGTATCTATACTCATACTAAAACAAGGAAAAGAAGAAACTTAATGAAATCTAGAGCATCAGTATTACGTATGTTTAATGTATAAAAAAAATGAGATAAAAAGCAGAAGTGAAAGAGAAAAGATTGCAGAGATAAAATGTATCTTTTAATTTATATTGTGGATAATCGTGTAGCAAAACAATTTGAGAGTTATGGCAATACGTGTTTCTTTTCCCTGTGTATAAATAGTTGAAAATAAAACTAAATGGTAATTTAATATTTTGTAAATATTAAATTATGACAAATTGTCTTTGAGAGAAGTACGTTGTTTTTTGCCACATTGGATCACTATACTGATTACTAATATATCCATATGAATGTGACGCGAAACGATATAACATTTTGCTCCAATTGACAGGTTATGAGTGGATAAAAAAAAGATATTAAGAATATTCACATTTAAGGAGGTCAATTAATATGTGTCTCTCTTTTTTACTCCATTTCTCTGTTGTTAGTTCAAATTCAAATTGTTTAATAGAACTCCAATTTTTTGTTCAATGTTGAACTCATAATTGGACCTTTTTTGTACTTCATTCACAGCCACGCAGTTGAGCGCGCAATGACAGATAAAATTAGACACGGTTTGTCAATGTGAAATTATCGTATATATGAAATAACATAACAAACAAGTGTCGCGCAAGAGAGAAAAGAAACAATTTATAGTGAAAAAAAAAATTGTATTATGGAATGATAAATGTGTAAATAGTGAAATAAATTGCCTATATAGTACTTGAAATACAATTAACTGTGGGATGTAAATTATAATTAATATTACTATATATAAATAGAGAAAAGTATAATCAATAAAATATTTAAAAGATATCTCCACGTTGTTCTCCTTTATCACTCGCTCGTCCGATTGATCTCTCTTGAGGCCGAAGAGATGTGTTAGCGTGAAAAAATGCAGCTATGATTATGAAATTCCTCAAATTTTACAGCCACATAAATTACATCTCGGACAATGTGTCTTAGTAATTTAATGTCTTTTATATCATTTTTCCCTCTCCACTCGCTGACTCGATCCTCGGCTGTTTTTTTTTCGCTTCAACTCTGCGTTGGACGAAAACCGAAATTCTTTTGGCTCAACTTTGTCAGATGATTCAGTTCTATCAGTTTCTTCACTTTCCCGTGCTTTTTACCATACAATCCACGAAGCTGAGCCTTCGTGACAGTCAGCACTAAATGTTTGAGTATAATCTCTAGTCATGATTGTCATCGGCGCGAGAAATGATATGTAGTGATGAATAGTCAACTCAAAAACAATCCATCAATCGAATATATATGTACATCGGCCACATTTTGGCAATCAATTATCCCGCGAGCTTTAGTGACGCTCATGAAACTGCATACAAATCGATTAAACGTATGTGGGAATTGAATTATCTATTTCACAATATTATTTTGCAAGAGCAGCGATTAAGAGAAAAAAAAAGTGGAATTCTCTCCCGACATTTTTGTTCCTCATCAACGCACGTCGTATTGAATATTATCCGCATCTCTTCTCTTTCAATTTTCCTCATGAACGATCACACGCAATTCTCCAATTATTGTCCATTAATTGCCCACCACGAGAGATCTTTCGTGTTTGTTAAATGATCCTCAATGGTGTGAAGAGTGGAGAATTTGTCGAAAAGATCACCTCTAAATTGTGATTGAATTCAATTTATAGGTTGCCTCACAATATTTCAACAGCCGCAATCGTCAATGATTAATCGGCGATTGCTGTTGGATGGAAATCATGGCATATCTTATGGTCTCTCTGCATCCACGGATCACCATATACCCATGCATATCGTTATTGCTCACTTTTATTATTTCTCCTCATTTTGGTAGGTGAATGCGCCTGTGTGTAAATTGACTTATAAAAGAAACGGGTTATTGGTTTTATTGTGCGAGCATAAATACGCTTGTCGATCGTCAATAAATTAACGATTGTATTAAAAAATTCCAGTTGTATTTATGAGTCAAACGCTATAAATACCTTGTTATACAGACGCAACAACCATGAGGATCTCCTGCCTTTTTTGCTGCTTTATATTGCTTTACAGTGTCTCTCACTGTGGCTAGAAAACGCAATTCCGTGACATGCCAATGGGACTCTTTTATCACCTCCAACCACTTCTTCAGATCCAGGAGGGGGTCAACAATAAAGACTTTCGTGGATTTTTCATCCTCTACGTGTTAACATAGCGTCTCAGCATCACAAAAACCATCTGAGACATTCACTTCGATACAAATCCAATTGACCGATAGAGTCTCAAATCGCCAAGGCTCACGACATTCCCGTGATTCTCAAGTTGCCCAAGAGAAGTGCTCCAAAACGGAAACATTCCCTAATCTTCAGTTAAAATATCTCAAAATGCAAATGCTTTCAAAATTGTGTTGCTATTTTTCTGTCAATCGACAATCATGAATCGCTCAAGAGGATTACTTGAGATTAAGATTAAAGTAACACGATTAGCTGCAATATCTGTCAATTTTCGATTGCACCCCATGAGAAAAGATGTGTTTTCACACTTCGTCGCCTATAAAATGCCACACAATCCTCTGGCTTTTGTGTCAGTCTGTTCTCAGGATCACTTTTGGGAAAGTGTCATGGTCCTGTGGCCACACTTTTGCCTAGAATCCTGTGGATTACGGCACAGCGAGGTGTTTGGTGAAAATCACACAAAATGCATGACCATCTAAGCCAATTGTGAGGGCACTTTCTCAGTTTCCTCCAGCCCTATTCAAGACCTCTGAGGCACAGTGAGAAAAAAGTCACACTGGCTCGTTGAGGAATAAATTGTGATTTGTTTGACTTGAGGATATTGTTTGTTTGTTTGTCATTTTCTTCCAGTGAAAAGAAAATATATATACACAAGGTGGAGGAGAGAAGATGAAAAAAAAAGTGAGAGAAGTCAGGAGAGACACTTTGTTGAAAATATGTCGTTTTGACTCTTTAAGCTCATACAACAAAATCAGCAGGGAGTCACCAATGATATATGGACTTTGTGTGGCTCGAGCAAATTTTTACACTCTGCCTCGAAACTCTTTTTTCCCTGCCCAAGCGACACTCTTCTCCTCGCTCACCCTCAGCATCTCATATTTCTTTTCCTGCTGATGCCTGAGAACACTGGAGGCCACATGCAAGAGTGTGACTCCAGCGCCTGTGTGTGGTATTAAAGGATGAATATCCTATGTGTGTATAAAATATGCGAGATGCTCTCTCACCTGGCCCACCGCCTGGGCGACAAATATCGCCAAAATAATTTGCATATTTCCGAAATATATCACCCGTTCTCGCGATGCACACAGCCACAGACGATTGCCTTCTGTGGATGCGTTGTCTCTCCTTGGCCTCATCATTTCCGCACGTTGATGGGCAAAAAGGCGAGAAACTTTTAGCGGAGTGATTAAATAAATTGCAGAATTTCAACAAAAATTAACTGCGGCCCCGCATGATGTCCCAAAGTCGAGACAGAATCGCGGTCAGAAAAAAAGGCATCAGATCCTCTATCGGGGATAAGAAGTCAACAGACAAGAATGCTAGATGAATGAAGCTGCTATTCGAAGAAGACATTAATTACAAAATGATTAATGATTTGGAAACTCTATGACTTTCCACTTGACTTGAGAGCCATGGATATTTGTGTGCCCCCGAACGGCCCAAAGGAGAGACCCAGTGTCGGTAGAACTAATTCTCAGTGTTGTGTAATGAGCATGGCGAATCGATATAAAAACACACCATCATATCTCAATTTCTCGATGACATCTCACTCACACGATCCGATGAAGATTTTGCACTATCCAGGCTGAGACCCTAATTGCCCCCACAGCGCCTCCCTTCTTGTGAGAACCCCTGAGATCAGGTGAGTTTTTGCGCAGCAACTCCAACACGTCTAATTATACCTGTCAAGCGTCATGAAGTACAAGGCATCGAGGAGGATTTCTGCATTAATGATTTGAATAGCAATGCTGATATGGACACCTTCCAATTATTCAACGCATCACTTCAAGACCAACTCAACGCAAACTTGAGCTCTCTCGCACTGACAATCTCATTGGCAAGAAGTGTGACAATTTTGCCATCATTTTCCTCTTTTACAAACTCAATCAGTTCAAGGTGAGGGGCTTAGAGATTTTCAGCTTCGCAAAGCACCATGCGAATTCGAAAGAGAGTTTGAAGAAAAAAAAAGAATGTCACATAAAAATTACAGTGTATGCCTTCGATATGATTTAATTTATGGCTTCCCAGTTGGGTGAGGTGAGGTCATTTGCTCTCTCCTTTAATCGACTCTAATGATTCCGCCTGTGAGCGGGTAAAAACTGTCGCTAAAGTGTGAGTTTTGTTACTTAAAGAGATATTGCAAAAAACGCATAAAGGTGGCAATTATTGATAATTAGACACTCTTGTCAATCGCAAATGTCTTCAGTGTCGGTCAGCCCTCGTATGAGAATTGTACGCAAGAGAGGAGGAAGAGAACACCTCCTTGAGGCACTGTTCCGTGTGAATTGGCCGTGCTGGAGGTGTCCAGAAATGGGGAGAGAGCGCGCAAGATTTTAGATGGGAAATTGCAACACACGCGAAAAAACGACTGAGCACCAGAGTGAATTGCAAAAAGTGATTGTGGCTACTCTCCAGACCCTTTGTCTTTAATCACTCGCCTGGTAAAATTCACCAGAAGACATCGAGGCACACTGGAGGCTAATTGAGGTGATTTTTTATTCTCAGAAAGTTTTGCGACCGAAAACAATGCGACTGTCGGACCATTAATCGATTAACTCACAGTCTATTGGCTCAGCGACTTCACCATCACAAATTGACGTTATCAATGACAGAACAATGCAATTCATTTGACTCCAAAGAATGCACTTAAACCAATCACACTTGAAGCTCACTCAAGAGAAGACAATTATTCTTCTCTCATTCCCGTATTCCGGGTAGGTAATCAGTGTGATGGTGTGTCATTAAAAAATTAGTCTACAATAGTGGGTTCTTGTCTCTCCCCCTTGAACCGTTGACCTCACAATCACTCAATTTCTTCAGCGCCGTTGTGCTTCTTCCCATCCACTTTGCCCTTCACGCCACCAGCACTGCTCCACATAGACATATCACACGGGAGAAAAGTTTCTTACTGCCCTCCTCCTCCTTCTCTTTCGGTGGGGGGGAAATAAAGCAAAAACAACCCGAAAGTAACACCAGCAATAAATTAAAAGTGATGGAATTTAATTGCCCAGCAAAGGGTTGAGAGGTGGAAAAAAAACTCTGCTTGTGGATTGTTTTCATCAATTTTAATGTTACAATTTTCGAATTCACCGCGGCAGGTGTCACATGGAGCACACGCGTGAGTAATTAGAGGTAGATTGGCACACGCGAAAAGGGCGTCTCTCGGGCACTCCAGCGAAATGTACAAGAGCCCATGAGTGGAGATAAGAGCCGCGATGATTTGTGTCTCTTAACTCCTCTCACTTTATTTGTTCTGTAAATTCACATTTGACACTTTAATTTCAGCAGCACTGACCACCGGGCAGAGCCGGGCAGCGTCCTGGGTCACTTGCCGGGATGGGGAGCAGGGCAGGGAGGCTGTTCATAACGATGAACAAATAAACGGTCTGGGCGATAGAGAGAGAATGAGGAGGGCCGACTTGATAAATATTCGTATCCAACTGCTCTAATCTCTCATTAATCCGAGTACATTTTCAGAACTGAAAACTTTTTCACACATAACCACCATGAAGACGACCAGCAAGCTACTGCTGGTGGTCAAATGCGAGTAATATTTCACAACGGAGGGAAATATTAATTCTTGTTAAGAACTTAATCACGGAGGCGA